CCCCGCGGAGTGGGGAAGGCTCTGAGCTGCACGCACGGGGTAGGGCCGGTCTGTGCTGCCCTCACCCGGCACCTGCTCCAGAGCCGCCGAGCCGCTCTGCCAGCCTCCCGCAGCATTCCCTCCGCACCCTCCTCTGTTTCCGCAGCCTTTCCCGGCATCTTCTGTCACCTCCTCCGTGACACGCCGCGGCTAATGCGGAGCCAGCTCACCGTTACCGCGTTCAGACTCTGCTGTCCCAGCGAACGCTGTAGCTGCATCTCTCCTCGTTGTGCCACAGCTCTGGAGCAACATCCCAGACAACACATGGGACAACAAGGAGGGTCACGGCAGCACACGGAGCTGTGCAGCAGCCGAGACAGCCTGACAGCAACAGTGGTTGTCACCGAGCCTCTCTGCCATCTGCAATCACACACCTACCAACACCGAGGTGATCTCACCTCAGAACTGCTGTTCCCTCCCCTCAGGCTGCCGCTCGGGAAGAGCCTGCAGCATTCCCAGCCCCTTTCTGCCATTTCACAGAGCTCTCACAAGCCAATCTGCTGTTCAGAGCTGAATACACCTTACCTCTAGGACAAAACTAAAGCCAAAGCCCCAAACCTGACAGGAGTAGAACAAAGCAAACAAAGGATTTCTAACAGGATCACCTCAATCTTTGTTTCATCCTCTCTTTTCAGCAGGTTTACAATGGCATTTTCCTTTAGGAGACAGAGCCTCTACAGCACACGGGTGTGAGAGGATCTGCCTATCACTCTGCAGCTCAGCCCCCCACAGATACCACACAGACCCCACAGCAAGGCACAGGTGCTCATGGGCTCAGTGCCCCACTGCTCCCTGCAGCAGGGCACTGACCACCTCAGTCATGGTTCAAATATCTGTTCTATTTCACTCAAAACCAAACTGACAGGCACAGTGTTCCCTCCAAGTTTTAATTAACTACTCACCCAAGGGACTCGTGTTCCCCAATTTGTCCCTTTTTACTTACTTGACAATTGTCCCTGTAGAGCTGGAGTGACCACTGATGCCACAGGAGGGGAAACACACACAGCTACTGGCACATTTTGGTTTCTGATCTGGGTGCAGAGTCCTCATTCCATCAAGGACTCCCAGCAGGCCCAAAGCACCGACCACACCTGATGGGAAGATCATTTTGGTGTGTTACTTCAGCAAGAACTCTAAAACACACACAGAGCTTGTCTGAGCTGATGCTTACCAGGAAGGGAAGATGCTGCTGTTTCCAGGGCACAGGACAAGGACACTTCCTTGAGATCTGAAGGCTCTGAAAGTTGCAGCTCCCAGCGTTGCTCCTGTTTCACCTCACACATGAACCTGAGCAGATCAGACATGCACAAGGCCCTGAAGAGCTGTTTGAGGCAGCCTGACCAGCAGAGCCAGGCCCTGGGGTGCAGCCCTGTCCCTCCACTCCAGGAGGTGTTGCTGATGAGTGAATTCTCAGTTCAACATCCCCTGCACAGCCAGTGTGAACTCACAGCTATCAGTACACACCCAAACCTCGGAGGGTCACTGACAGCACCACCAGATGCTTCTCCCAGAAGAGAAGGACCCAGTCTGTTGCAGGAGCAGCAGTGGTGACCCTGGCAGTGCTCTGTTCATGGCTCACTGACCTTGCCTTTCTCCATTTTGCTGAGAAAAAGGTGCTACTGAGTTTATTTACTCTGCAACAACATCTACAGCCAAAAAACTTCAACAAAACTGCAGTTTAATTTCAGAAAATGTGTTAAAATATATATATATTTGTACATCAATTTGACACACTGCGTTAGTTTACACAAATGATGGTCTGTCCTGAAACTGTATTTATGAAATGTACATTTTTAATTTAAATACTCAGTATACACTGCACTTAATCTGCATGTTGCATTTATTAAATACATTAAAATCTGCAATGTAACAAAACGTCTTCTGCATACGAAATTCAAAACACCATTTTAAATGAACAAAAGATGGCTCACTTCATTTATTTGTTTAACAACTAGTGCCTAGCACACTAGCTCAGCTCCACCGACACCAGCTGTTCTTTCTCTTTATTGACATTGTTCACAGACTAGTACATATTACACTAAGAGTGCTGGATAAAAACATGAGGTACGAAAGTGGTTCAAAGATTACAGGTCATGCAGATCATGCGAGACAGCAAAGAAAGTCGTGAATGAGAAAACACTAAATAAAAATACATAAAGAATGTGCATTATAAAATAAAAAAAAAAACAAAAACAAAACAAACCTCAATTACACAGCTTTGCTTCTTTGGTTACAAAGTAGGTTGAACAATTTCACAGCTTTTTATTCCCACCCAAAAAAAAACCCCAAAACGAAATGTCAAAAAGCAGAGGAATCATGGCCCTTTCTCTCTATCAGAAAGTAGAAACAGAAATGAGCAAAGTTTTCTTCATCAAAATAGCCCATCACTTATTTATTATATCACAAGGACTGGTGACTACCTGTACAGATGCACTATGGTCTTCATACTTACACTCTATACAAAATTTACATTCAAGCTGGATCTTTACTACCGTAAATAAATACCAAAGGTCAATTGCCATTAGTGTTAGAAATACGCCAGGATTCTTTGTTCAATTATTGCCTAGACATTGTATCTATCAATGCAATCCCATCTAGCACTTTACCCATACAGACATTTATTTAAAAAAAAAAATTAAAAAGTTCTGTGACATTGTTCATGTACATGATGAAAATAGCAGCCCTGTAATAAATAAAACAAATAAATGAAACTAACGTAGGCAAATGTTACTTATATGGAAAGAACAGTGGCTCTGAGGAGGAATTGCTGCTCCTTACCAGACAGACAGCAAAGCTCCCATGGGCAGCGGGAGCCTCGGAGAGCCACCAGAGCCCTGACAGAGCTCCCTCCCCCCAGGCAGAGACCTGGGCACCAGCACTCCCCCCACACCGCGCGGGGCAGCTCGGGAGGATGATTGTCTAATACTGAGAAGGCCAAACACACAACAGAAGCACGGCTGCTCGCTGGGCGGACACCAGTGGCAGGGGCTGGCACCGGCGGGGTGAGAGCCTCAGGCGGAGGAGACATTCGGCTGCTTCGGCGGCTGCGCGGGCGGAGGCTGCGTCCCCGAAGTGCTACTGGGGGTGGCCTGTTGGGCTGGGAGCTGGGACAACTGGTCGTTGCTGGACAGGGATTTTAACAGTGCGTTTTCTCGTTCAAGTAAAGAGTTTCTTTCGACTAATTCTTTTATTTGTTCCTTCAGGACTTCCACTTCTTCTCTCACTGCATACATCAAATGGCTTTTCACTAGATCCTGCAGAGAACAAGTGGACAGTTACACCAAGGGCAAGGACAGCTCCCTGTACCCCAGCCCCAGGAGTTACTGCTCCTGCTTTCCCTGTCAGGGTGTTCAGGCACTGGAGTATTGCCCAGGGAGGTGGTGGAGTCACCATTCCTGGAGCTGTTTAAGAGGTGTCTGGATCTGGTGCTGGAGGATATGGTTTAGACAGCACAGCAGAATGGCAGATAATGGTTGGACCTGGTGACCATAGAGGTCAACCCTGATGATTCTACTCTGTGATCCTAAGCCTGGACAACCAAGGCACTCTCACTGAAAACACAGGAATAAATCAGCCTCCAGCACAAACCACACAGCCCTTTGTCCACTGTGAAGTGGCCCCTGCATTCAAGCCTTTGTCTCCAGCACTCCAGCAGCAGAATGGCAGATAATGGTTGGACCTGGTGACCATAGAGGTCAACCCTGATGATTCTACTCTGTGATCCTAAGCCTGGACAACCAAGGCACTCTCACTGAAAACACAGGAATAAATCAGCCTCCAGCACAAACCACACAGCCCTTTGTCCACTGTGAAGTGGCCCCTGCATTCAAGCCTTTGTCTCCAGCACTCCAGTCACCTTGGTTACGTGAGAGACAAGGCCTAGAATGACATCCCAGCTCCTCAGAAGGAAAGCAGCAGCTCTGAGGCTGTGACCTGGGACTAGGGGGCTGTATACACAAGTCCAAGCACTGAGGTGTATGCGAGCCAAGACATAAGGAAGCTTTTACATATTCAGAAGCAAAAACCCAACAGCTGTAACTGAACCTGAGCAGCATGTGAAGGGTGGCAGAAAAACTAGTGATGGGCCTGGCTAAAGTAACAGACTGAAATGCACCAGTTATTTTCAGCACCCCTTCAAGTGCAATCAGCTTGGTCACAGCCATTTATAAGAAAACTCTCTAGAGAACATTTCTGGGCCAATAGTAAAGGCAATTGTGGTTTGTGATCATTCACGTCTGATACAGAAAAGCTCGGTCTGACCCACCTGGAGGAGTGTCACAGCCTCACAGAAACAACACAGCTGCAAACTCATGCTCAGTGATAACCCACATTAATCCTAGGAGAAACAACTTGTGTTTTACTTACCATTGCCTGTTCTATTTTGTTGTCAATGGCAACAACACTCGCACCAGATGCACTGTGAATACAAGCAGAAAACTTTGTGAGCATTACTGTACCACTCAGGTAAAACCACCTGCAGGACTTTTGGAACATGCTGTCACTGAAGGTTAAAGCTCAGAGTCAAGAGTTCAGTACACAATCACAGGGGTGGCCCACATCACCCTCACAGTTAAGAGACACTGCTTCTTCAGTGTGCACCTCCTCAGACTGTGCTTATGGCACCCATAACCATGAAAATGCATTAGAATAAACACTAAACTGCTTTGATTCCTGGCCTCATTTTTCCAGCTGTCTTCACTGGGGAAACAGGGATTCACAGGATATTCATGGGTTCCCTACCTCTAGTGTTATTTCTGCCAAACCGTTCTTACAAAACAAAGAAGAAAAAAAACCTGTCATCATACTTGTTCTCTGGCTTCACTTGAGGTCTACCTGCCAGGTAAAGGTTCCTGGCCGGGCACTGCCTGTGCAGCCACGTGGCAGCAGTCAGCAGGAGGGCGGGACATGACCTGAGCCCCAAGAGCTCCCAGGGAGCTCTCCCTGGATCCTGTCTGACAGCTGACAGACAGTGATGGGTCACACTCAGGGCTAGGCTTGTTACGGAGACACTGGTGCAGAACACCTCGGCACACTGCCAGGATGCATGTTTGCACATCCCACACAGGATGCTGAACTGCAGCTTCGAATCCAGCCCTTAATATCACACCAGAGGCACAGAGGTCCCTGCAGCCAGGATTTCGGCTGTCCCTGC